TGATCGAGGACACCACGGATTAAGTAAGGGAGGGGTACACTAATGCCTGCATAAAGGTGCTGCCCCTTCTTTGTTACTTGCGATGCAAACATACCCTGAAACACGGCACATCGTCGCTGGACGCCGACGTTTCGACAAACGGACTCGCCTTCTTCAGCGCTGCAACATCAAGTCGCACTGCACGCTTGAAGAAGAGAAGTCCGCCTGTCGAAACGTCGGTATCCAGCGACGCGCCGTGTCCTAAGGTTTCTTTTTCATCGTTTCAAGATTACATATTCCCCTGAACTTCTACCGTAGTTAGATTTAGTCATTATTTGCATATCAAATTCTGTTAGCTTTCTTTTTTTTTTCCCCTGCTTTGTATCGCGCTATAGATTTTTACTACCTTTTCTAGTTCGCCATCTCTAAATTACTTTAATTTAGTGTCTAAATAACTCTATTATTAACTGAAGGAAATGACTGGGAATTTAAAAGCTTGTTTTATCTTCGTTATACCCAATATATTAATGAGAAATCACAGACAATAATGCCAAGGAAAGTATAGGAGATGTTATTAGCAGCAATTGCGATGTAACTGTGAAGAAAGTGGACAATTAACGTTCCCTATATATATACTTTCCTTGGCATAATTGTGTGTTAGTTCCCATTATTAACTTCGATATAAATCTATAATATCACCCACAGGAAGAGTTCTCTGAAAAATTTAAAAATTCTTCAACTTAGCACTCTCGGCTGCGTAGTCAATATATATATATATAAATTGTAGCGAAGCCTCCGAACTCTGAAATGGGTCGAACTCTTGAGTACCTTCTAGTGGGGCTACCCAACAAGAACGCCGCTCGCGCTGAGAGTCCGTGCTTGGCCGTTACTGTCGCCATTGTGTATACTCGCTGTCTGCCCGCTAATAAACACCATAACAATTTATATATATATATATATATATATATATATATATATATATATATATATATATATATATATATAATATATATATATATCGCCGCTATGGCTACAGGTGGCGCTGACTGACACTCCCACGATTAAATTCACAGATGAACCCAATAAAGTGGCTGGGAGGATAGCCGCCGTGGTAGCTCAGTGGTAGAGCATCGAACGCGTAATTCGAAGGTCGCTGGTTCGGTTCCTGCTCACGGCAAGTTATCTTTTCACCCACTTTTCTTTCTTCACATTTACGTTACAATTGGGTCTAATAACTTCCCCTATACATTCCTTGGTCTGTTAGATCTCTTCAACATTGTGTCGAAACACGGAAAAACAAGCCCTTAAGCATACACTTCTTCTCCTTTAATATGTATATACCGCGCAGCCAGTGTGTGTGCTCTGTGCCAAGAACATAAAACGAGCCCGTAAAGCGAAGCGCTTGCGCCGGCACAAAAGGAGATTGGCGTCTTCTAAGGGGCCGCATAGAACAGAGTGTGCTGCAGGAACTGTTTGCTCTCTCTCCGTCATGCGCGGTTCATCTCCTCGGCGCTTGCGAGGCGCGATGAGGTGTCTCGGAAACAGCTGTCTGCCCTCTCCCGCTTTCTCTATAGGTTGGAGAGGCAGCCAAATCTCGGCGACAAGCCACTGTCACGGGATGGCGCTTTGATTTGCTTATACATTTTTTTTCTGTCTGTCTTTTCTCGGAAAATCGGTCTCGTCTTCTCAGTGGTCGTGTGAGATACAACATAGTTGCGTTCAGTTGAGTGTGACGGCTTTTAATGCATGGTCGACTGCTGCGTTCCTTCGATCCCGTCGGGATGCACTAAACTGGTCTATCCTCTGCACCATGATGTTGACATCCCATTCATTTTGTCATGGTCTAAGGTGTTCATCGACACTTGATCTTATTGCTCTTTGTATACAATGACTTATTTATATAGCCATACTGTTCACCCTTTCTACAGGAAAGGGCACAATGAATAACCCCCGTATTCCCAAACGCTCCTCGACCTCAAGGTATCCTTGAGGACTGCTTCTCGTTGTGATATCTGCAAGCCGAAAGTCCCGGGGATCCCTGGAGGTCGAGTTTCCAGTCGAGTGGCGTTTGTGAACACGGGCCTAACCCCCGTGTTCACAAACGCTCCTTCACTCAGGGGCTCTCCTCGACGTGAAAAAGTCGATGGGAGCGCCCTCTCTTGGCAGACCTAGTAACTGCACATCGGCAATATTCTGCAGCGATTATTGACAAGCGCAGCGTCAATTTCAGTCGAGCAGCGAGCGCAGTGCTCAACTCAGTCAAGTGAAGGACGGAATTCTAGTCGAGGAGCGTTTCTGAATACAGGGGGTAATAAGTCTTCGCACACAATCGTTTAACAACGGATAACTAACAAGCAACACCATAGTTAATTGTCGCGAAACACCTATCTAAGGACAGCCTGAAGATCAGATACATCATTTGTGTGCACAGTTTCCTGTGGCACACTGTTCCACGAATCAATGGCATCAGAAAAATAATTAAGTTTATTTTTAATACTTGTATACTGCGATAGTTACGTATGTTTGGAACACCGATATGTGCACACGCCAACGCAAGGAAATAAATACTGATCGACAGACTCGTTGTGGTGGCTTGGAGCTTCGACGCACGGTGTTCGGACTTGGGGTCGCGTGGCCGGTGCGAACGTGAGTGGGCATCGTGTCCAGAACTTTGAGCAGGACAAGTTGATGAAAAACAAGAACAAAAAACAACCTTTACATACAAGTATTTACACGCTTCATATCTCAGTTATTCAACCGCCGGCGCTCCTCACTAGTGCGCCGGATTTAAACTATAGGTTAGGGTCCAACCCTGCTTACCCCTCTCCACGCCGTGGCCAGAACTCCACGAATCCCTCATCACTGCCAGGAGCGTAGTGAAGGGCACACCCGCACCTTAAAACTCAATGCCTAGTTTGATAGGTTGAAGATTGACACTTCAGATGACCGTTTTTTGGGGGCCCTTTAACTTAACCATACCACCGCCCGACTGGTGGTGGTAGTGGTTAGAAGAGGAAGAAGGCGCCTAATTTCTGCAGCGCGGTACGCCGCTGCAGGTACGCGGAGCGCTAAAAGGTTTCCCTCTGCATTACCGAATGTCCTCAGTCGTGGGCGAAATGCAAGAACACGATAGTTATAGCGTGAGATCAGAAGGACCACTCAGAGACAAGCCCGTGTTCAAAGAACGCCAGGTGGTCGCAATGAATCCGCATTCCCTCAGCGTAGTGGCGTTGTATTCTTTTTTACTTTGAAGCTTGTTTGATATGGAATATATGCCCGAATACATGATGCACCTGCGTACGACGCCGGAGGCGAAATCCAGTTGGACTCGCTGGCTGGATTTCGTGCAGACAGGTTGTGCCCTCGCGATCTCCGACGTCAGCGCAGCTATGGCCGACTGGATTAGCCCAACGTCATGTGCTGTCGCCGACAAGAGCTCTCGCAAGTGGTGCCCTGTCCTCGGACTCCTGTGACTGTGTTTCCATCTGTCCCATCTCTCATATGTCGTCGCTCGCTGTCCTAGCGCATCTCTCTTTCTCTCTATACCTTCAATCCTATCCTTTTAATCCCTCCTCACCCCCGTCCCTTGTGCGCTACTGTTGAGGTGTCGCACGCTGATGCAGACAGTTACGGGGCTCACTTTTCTCTTCTTTTCCCTCTTATAACCACAATGTGTATGTGAAAACCAGTTCTCCCTAGGAGAAACTTGTTTCGAGGATGCGCACCCCGTCGTTTCCCCTTCGATTGACCCGTCCCTCTTCCGACAATAGGCCGGGCTGTGGCAGCTTCGAAAAGAAAGAAAGAAAGAAAGAAAGAAAGAAAGGAAGAAAGGAAGAAAGAAAGAAAGAAAGAAAGAAAGAAAGAAAGAAAGAAAGAAAGAAAGAAAGAAAGAAAGAAAGAAAGAAAGAAAGAAAGAAAGAAAGAAAGAAAACTACGTGACAAGTCGAAAGGTGCACAGAGAATACAAACCAAAGGGACGAGCGACCACTAGTCGCCCGCACAGAAGGATTTGGCACAGAAGCGCCGTCTTCACCGTAGACAACGGCACCACTGCTACGATAGTTAGACCGGGAATGTTTGATGTTTGCCCGTGTCCCTGCGAGTGATGACTTGGCAATATCTACTTCCGAAATCGTCAAGACCTCCGGAGGAGTCTTCCGGGAGTCGTCAGGCGAGCGTTGAATCGTCCGATGCAGCGATGCCTGCAGATGTAGCGGTGAGCGAGCAATGAGTGTATCTCTCGTTTCTTTCCGCGTCCTCGTTCAGTCGCGATTAATGTAGCGAGCTAGGCATCTTTCGCTGGCATTGCATTTCACCACTACTTGTCCGCGCCTTCTTTTTTTTTTTTCAACAGGTGTATCAGGGACGTCCAGCTGCGAAATAAACGGGCGAGACGAATGGGTAAAAAATAAAATGCAAACGACCTCTCCAGCGCCTGGAGTTTGGACTGAAAAGGGGGAGGGGGCGTACCACGATGACGGAACAGACTGGAGGCGTTGAGTAATTTCCGCACCGCCGGGGAATTTCGATGACGAAGTGCTACAGTGTTGTGCGCACCGAAGAACTTGAAGAGAGACCGACGAAGGGTACCGTCGTTTCGGGCGAAGCTGCTGCCGCTGGGACTGACGTTTCTCAAGCGAAGTGAGGACGTTTCGGATACCTCTCCGCTCGTGCCCGTGACACCCTTTTGGGCGACCAACGTTCGGCGTGTTTCCGAGGGAGACAAGCCATCCCCGAGCCTGCGCATGTTATCTGACTGTCGTCGCCGTGCTTCATTTTTTCGACAGGGAAGCATCACAAGGTCCAAAACGCGTGTTGTCGCCCTCTCGACGAAGTGTCGCACGTGGTTATACATTTGCAGTGTGCATGTTTCGCGTGTTTCCCCCCACCCCAGCAGCACGCACACACACCTCTGAGCGCCGGCTTATCGTGGGCACGGATAAGACGTGCGAGGGATTGCGACCGGGCCTCACAACTCGCTCGCACGAGAGAGAGAGAGAACGCAAGTTTGATTTTCCACGTCCGCCAGCGTCGTGCACGTTGCGTGCATTGTTGTCGCCACTACATACGCTCTTGTCGCTGGGTGTCAACTGTGCGAAGAAGCTCGGACGATCAGTTGGCGCATCGCCGCTGTACCGTAGTCGAACAAGCCGGCCGTGAGTCAAAGGGTCCGTCGAATTGGAAGAGGTCAGCGATGCCCTGGCGAGTTGACGACGAGACGCCTAGCTCATCGGTGTGTTTAGTACCGGAATCGACCTTGAAACGTGTCGATGCACTGGAATGCGCATCGGCTGAGTCGACGTCACTCCCGTTACGTCATCGCTGCGCGCGTCTGGCTTGGAGAGTGCTCGTCTTCTGTCTCCTGTGGCCGTACTTCCTGCTCCGCCTGCTGTGTCGCGCCTGGTTGCGCCTGCTCAAGTACTTCCTACGTGAGTACTGCCCTCTTACGAAAGTTTGTGGACTGAAAGAAAAAAAAAAACAAGAAATTTCTTTTATACATTCTCGGAAGAGTGCTTATTGATAGGCCGCAGAGAAATCTTTTTGATAGGTTCATACATTCTCTCGGGTTCTGACTCCGTGGACGAGAGTTTGAATCCGGTGCCGATGTTGAATTTTGACGGAGGCGAATAACTCGAGGCCGACGTGTTGTGAGATGTCAATGCCCAGGTGGTCCAAACTGCGCGGAGCCCCTTTACTATGGCGTCTTTCACACCCCGAGCTACTTTGGAAAGTTGCGACCCACAAGCTAACCGATGAATAATTTGCCTGTAGATTGTGTATTAAAAGCTGTAAAGAATGAATACTCAGTAGTTTTTCTGCGGAGCAAATTAATAAAATACGCAAATGATTCTCTGAATAGCACTTACTGAAGGCTACGTAAAAGGTGCCATAGATTATCTAAAGGATAGTTATTGAAAACATGGACGTGGGCAGAATTTTGTCTTGGGAAGTGTGCGTGTGTTGGGGGAGGGATGGGGGCAAGCTCAAATTGCGTCGCAATGAAGGTAAGACGACTCGAGCTTGCTCCCCACCCACTTCCTATGACAAAATTACCTACCTCTTACGCGAGGGCAAGTGCTGGTGTTTCTGGAAAGGAGCAAGTGCCCCTTTTGCACCCCTTTGCCGACGCCCATGATTGAATGCTATCAAAATGAAAAACTCACTAGGTATCTGATGGTGATAACCTTTTGTGAATGATATATTTAATCATTTTATTTGGGCATACTGCAGGCTCAATCGGCCCTTGTAGGAGTGGTTACAAAGAACAAAATAAATAATTTCAAAGAAAAAAAAGAAAGCCACAATCGTGAACTAAATGGCGCGCACTTCCACAACAAACGATTCCACAGTAATGCAATTCACAACACTCTCTGCAGGGTAACATGTTCCATTGAACAATTGCCGAGGGGAACAGTGAATACTTGTGAATATTAATGCGGTTTGAAGGTTGTCTGATTGCCATACTGTGGTTGGTTCTCGGTGAGTGCAGAAAAGGATGACGTAAATAATGTGACTTCGGAATTTTGAAATTACCATGGGACAGGATATAAATGAATTTAAGTTTGAAAACTATTCTTCGTCGTGAAAGTTTTTCAAGGTTTGCTTTCGCTAATAGGTCAGAGAGGCTGCACTGTCTAGAATACTTTGAGCATATGAATATGGCAGCTAGTTTTTGAATGCGTTCAATTTTATCAATTAGGTGTTTTTGGTAAGGGCTCCAGGTCAAATCAGCACAGTCTAATGAGGGTCCAACAAGTGTTTTCTAAACATTTATTTTTACATGCGGTGGAGTGTTACGTAGCTTGCAGGTATTATAGACATCTTTATGTGAAGCTGTCGTAGCAATATGCCAATATGATTTGCGTGTCCTTTGCGACATGCTGTCAATTATTCACTTTACCTGTTGGCGTCTCGAATTTGATTCTGGAGCTACACTTCCCACTTTTGTCTAAAGAGCTTTCACTGAAGTACTTTCAAGAATACATTCAAAAGGAATTGCGTACAGCTGCACAGTGATACTTGTAATATATATATATATATATATATATATATATTGTACCGAAGCATAGTGGCGCCAGCTCTGTGCCAGCGTGAAAGAAGACGTTGCGTCCTTTCTTCTTCACCATCTCATTTTGCGACACGGTGCACCTCGTGAATTAGTGAGTGACCGTGGACGCGTGTTTCTCTCGAACGCCATCGACGAGCTACTCAAGGCATGTCGCACGGTCCATCGGAAATCCTCGGCATACCATCCTCAAACCAATGGCATGACGGAACGCTTTAACCGTACCCTTGGAGATATGCTTGCCATGTACGCCTCTGACGACCACACTAATTGGGACCAAGTGCTCCCTTTTGTCACGTACGCATACAACTCTGCGCCACAAACAACCACTGGCTTTTCTCCTTTCTTCCTCCTGTACGGACGTGAGCCATCATGCTCCATGGACACCATTCTCCCTTACAGGCCTGATGTTTCCGAAGCGACGCCTGTTTCCGAAGCAGCTGCTTATGCCGAAGAGTGTCGTCAACTCGCTCGCTCATTTACCGCACAAGACCAATGGCGCCAGAAAACTGACCACGATTCCTCTGCGTCTACTGTATGCTATAACCCAGGAATGCTGGTTTGGCTCTGGGTCCCGTCTACCCCTCCCGGTCTTTCCCCGAAGCTTTCGTCGAAATATCATGGCCCCTACCGTGTGGTGCGGCAAACATCTCCTGTCAACTATGAAGTTGAGCCCATTGATCCACCTGCGGACCAACGCTGCCGTGGGCGTGAAACAGTACACGTATCACGCCTCAAACCGTGCTATGACCCCCTTGTCGTGTCCTTTCCCTAGGTCGCCAGGTTGGCTCCTTTCTGCGCGGGGAGTAATTGTACTGAAGCATAGTGGCGCCAGCGTGAAAGAAGACGTTGACGTCCGTGTGTGGCTCGTGCTAGCCGGGTTCCTGCCTGTACCAGCTTGTTGCGGCTAACGTTTCTGGAATAATAACCTGTGTTTTTACGCAACCTTGCTCGTTGTAATATATATATCCACTTTTTTTCTTATTTACATTACATTGGTTCTAATAACTTCTCCTATACATTCATTGGCATTATTGTGCTTAGGGAACAGGTGTACCCTTCTACAAAACTATTTGTAGACCGATCTTCTGACGGTCTTGAAGATCGGTCTCCGATCAAAAACTTCGACAAACAAACAGTTTTGTAGAAGCCTACCCCTTTTTCCTATTTGTTTACAGCAACCGAAGGCAGACTTTTCATTATAGTTGCTGTCAGCAGAAAACAATTGGTCAATCCCTCGTACAGTGGGAATCGATGATATGTGAAGCACGAATGAGGAAGGTTGATATGCCACTTTAAAATCAGCACAACGTTACGAGGCGGACGTAATTTATGCCGTGCATGAGTTCCATTTCATGATTATCATGGTGGCGCCTGGCATTTGTGTTCGTCGTCCGTTCACGTCACGTAACACCAAATTTGGTATATGTGAAGCTAGCGAAATGGCCGAGAGCGCACTATGAGCGTAGCATGTATTCATGTTTTACGTGACATGCACGCCATGATTATCATGTTTGGACGTGTCATGTATTTACCTTCGTCATCCATTCACGTCACGTAATACCAAATTTGGTGTATGTGAAGCTAGCGAAACGACCGCGAGCGCACCAAGAGCGTGGCGCATAGTCATGACATCCATGTCATGATTTTCATGTTATGACTAGTCACTTATGCTCGTCATGCAGTCATGTCATGCCATATCAATTTAGGTACAGATCCCATTATCGAAACGGCCAGGAGAGCTAAAAGTCGTAGATAGATAGATAGATAGATAGATAGATAGATAGATAGATAGATAGATAGATAGATAGATAGATAGATAGATAGATAGATAGATAGATAGATAGATAGATAGATAGATAGATAGATAGATAGATAGATAGATAGATACGGCCAAAGTCGCTGAAGTTCGCTAAGAAATGCTTTCACATATAATGAAAAGTCCGTCTTCGGTTGCTGTAAACAAATAGAAAAAAGATGTACGCTTCCACAAAACTGTTTATTTGTGGTCGTTTCGATCGGAAACGGATATCCGGCAGTGGTGCGACCTTGTACGTGGGGTAATAGGGGACAGAGTTCGGACGATAAGAGGTGTACGCGTACATTGCGCTGTCTTATCGTGCGCGCGGCTTAGCAGTTTTGGTGTCACCGGCGCATGCACTTTTATCTGCCCGCTCTTCGCATTTGGCTTTCGCGTGCCGCTGCGTGAATCAGAAAGGACAAAGGCTGCGTGCCGAAGCACTGACGTCCTGCCTGATATGGAGGGCATCGTAATAGCGCTGACGAAGAAGGGAAGTGCTTTGTTGTCACTGTGTACACTTGTGTTGTAGCTGTGTCAAGGTTCACAAGCGACAAAAAGAAATTGTTTTTTTCCCTTTAATTTCTATTAAAAACGCCAGGCCTGTGCGGAACTCGCAGCACACTCGCAACGATTTTGTGGAGCCCGTTGTAAACTATCTTGATATAGCTACACAAGTACACTTGTATGGGACCGACTGCGCCACGAATCATCATCATTTTAGGTGCGAAGCTCCTTAAAGCAGCACCCGTTCGTCCCTCGTCGTAGTCGTAGTACGTAACATGTCTTAACATCTATCTATCTATCTATCTATCTATCTATCTATCTATCTATCTATCTATCTATCTATCTATCTATCTATCTATCTATCTATCTATCTATCTATCTATCTATTTATCTATTTATCTATCTATTTATCTATCTATCTAACGGACGCACAGCTCAACGTGCGGACGCACGAACAGACGCACGCACGGACGGGCGGATGGACGCACGGACGGTCACACAGACGGACGCATGGACGGACGGAAGCAAGAACGAATGGACGGACGGATGCTTCGCCCCACTCTTCATCATTCGCCCCGTGGATATGCTGCCATTTTTTTTTTAGTAAGCATATATATGCTATGTAATTAATCGTCATTCTCCGAAGACGCGAGGAATACCCGCAACACATTCACAACAGACCGTAGAGGAATGGCTTTTCTAGAGCCCGTTGTAAACTCTTTCGGGGTGGCTATACACAAGCACACGTAAACCCCAGAACGACGAGGTTTCGATCCCAGTCCCGACGTTCGCGTTACGACGAGCGCGAAAAGCTATACGGATTCAAGGGTCTATTCAGACCCTTGAATCCCGCAGACGCGAAGAACGGCTGGATTTCCTTCAATTATTACTTAACCAAAAACTCGCAATCGATTCATCGCCTTACTTATCTTTTCTGTCAACAAGGAACACACGACATCATCATCCCAATTTGCTAACCCCATTTTTTGCGAGAACCGATGCCTTTATGTATTCTTTTTTTCCGCGAACAGTGTCGGACTGGAACAAGTTATGCGAAC